AAAAAAAAAGACGAAGAAGAAGAAGAAGACGATGAATAATTTTTTAAACTCAACTCATCTAAAATAACTACGTTTATATTTCTTTATTTATTTTTTTTTTCATTAAAATTATTAATGAAATCACCGAAAATTTTTATAATTATTAAAAAAATTTTTGTTTATTTGATCAGTAAGTAAATAATAAAATTACTGCAAAAATTATAATACAAACTGCAAATTATTTACGGTTTTTTTTTATTATTTAATTACTCTAAAGGCTCAATAGAGTTAAAATATATTATTTTAAACATTTAAATAGTTTGTTGTTATAAAAAAAAAAATTTTTTTTAAACAAGTCTTACATTATTAATAATAATCATTATTTAATTAATAAAAAAAATTTTTATTAAAAAAAAAAAATTGTAGCATGCAAAACTGTTCGTCCGATAAAATGTTTCATTTTAAATTACAGTGGATGATTACCACTGTGACTGCTCATGCGCGCGCAGCTTGTTTACAACTCTACACTTACCTACCGGACAGCTGACAAAAATAATAAGAAATTAATTTTTTTTTTTTAATTATTTTTTTTCGGTGATAATTTTATCCGCGGAGAAGATGTTTGTGACGTTTTTGGTTGAAAAATTTCCGCTCTTTCCAGTGATACTAATTTTTTTGTGAAAAAAAATATTAAATATATTAAAAAAGTGAAAAATATAGCGTTCCGCGATTTTTCAATTTTTTATTAATTTTTTTAATTAACTTCCGTATCGAATTGAGATTTCGCGTTTTTTTTATTAAATTCTATGAAAAATTCTCGATTTTTCTGTGTAAAAACATCTCAGTCGAAAATTAGTTCGAACAACGCATAAGAGTAATTTCGGTGGACTATTTACTTTTTGGCACGCGATATACCTGAGCTTTCGGTCGTTAGAAACAAACTTAAAGTTGTCGTAGTTAATAACTGAGTTTTTTACCTAACTATACATTATTATATTTGGCAACAAAAAAAATTTGACCTTGAAGGTTTAGAATCGAACGCTTTGAAGGTGATAAGATTTATGCGTACCTCAGATTCAACAAATCGCATGTCACAATTGATTATAAGTGAAGAATATAGACGATATAAAAACGGAATTATAGCATTTCTCATAGTGATTATCCCAAATTACTAGGAAGTGATAGATTTTTTTTTCAATCGTAATTCGAACGTCAGTTCCATGTAGAATCCACCGAATTGTATCATATTCATTAACTAGCATAATATGTCTTACCTATAAACAGTTTGCTAGATCTGGGAGCTGAGATTAAGATTGAAGATGTAAGATCAGGATATACATAGCACTATGCTGTTGAAAAATCTTACTAGCCAATTGATAGCCTATTAATAGTGAAATTGTTTCTTATTAAAGGTGCTGATGGGAATGCATTGGGTTATAATAGTGAACAGAAGATTACTTTCAATTTATGAAAATTTTAAATTAATTTTGAATTTCATAGCTCATATTAACATAGTTAGCCGTTTAAATTGGATTTGCCGTCTTAATTATTTTTCAACAATTATATTGCATCATATTATCATATTGAAAATTGCTAACATGCAAATTAATCCATACTACTTACTCTACCAACATTTTGGTTCAGAAGCTGATAAAGAACAAATCTTAAGTGAGTGTATTAAGGAAATTGGTCATCAAAAAAGAAAATGATCCTTGGGAATAGCTACGTTGCCGTTTATGATTTTATAATTGATGATGTTCGTCGATTAGTATAATGTTCGAAAAAATCTGATATAACTGAAAAATTTTAACCAAATCAACTAAATAATAAATTCCCAATTTACGAATAAATTATTGTCCTTATACTTACGAATTTCATTAATTAATTCTGAACTATTCTCAGCTGCTACAAAATGTCGAAGCTGTATTAACTAATAAATTTTATAATTGACTTTTACTATTTGTACTTAATTTATTTAATTATCTGAGAATTTAACAATTTTGTTACTCAATAAGATAAAACGCTCATGCACTCTAGCACCTAGTGCTAGATGAAATTACCGACTTAATTATACCGGCCCACAAAAAAAAAAAAGTGCTCTGTACTTTTGATCGGACCTACCTATCTTTATGTATTTCGACGCGCTGAATCCGAATCTGAAGTCAGTTTTGCCCATACACCCTCAAATTTTTAAGTAAAATGCAAAAAACCCCCCAAAAAGGCAAAAAATTGCGAAAAACTGCAGTCACAGCAATGAAACAAATTTTTTGGACCTAGATCACGTATGATTTTTATGTATTTCAATTCACAGAATCTGAATCTAAACGTTTAGTAGCTCCTTGAGCCGTCAAAATTTGAAAAAATTGCAAAAAACTCAAAAAATTGCAAGAAATCATGAAAAATCGAAATTATCGAGATTAAAAACATTTTTTGGATTCAGATTGAGTATGACTTTTATGTACTTTGTTTCACTGAATTTGAATCTGAAGTTTTTTTGTCCCATTGATGTTTTAAAATTTAAAACAATTTTTAAAAATCAAAAAAATCGAGAAAATTGCAGTTATAAATATGAGAAAAAAATCTATTAAACACGACACATATATTTATATATATTATATATATATATGAATATATGAAAAATATATCAAAATGCATGTGGGTTCTTAAATGAAAGCTCTTGATGAGTGTAACATCGAGATGAGCTTATATCCTTAAAAATTTCAATAATTTTTTTTTTTTTTTTGACTATAGTCAACACGATAGCGACATCTTTACAGATTGAGAATTTCTCAAATTTTTTTGTTTCATATCACTACAAGGGCTGGAATCATGTCAACCAGAGTGCACCGTTTTTTTTGTAGCCCCCACTTCACCGCCCTGTAATTTGTAAAATTTATCATTTTTTTTTTTTAATTTTTTTTTATATTCTTGAACTGTCAATAAACATCATATAAAAAAAGGGATTATAAAAATGTTTTTCATTTTTTTTTATGTTAGTTTGAAAAATGCCTAAAATTTAGGCTTCTAGACCAGAATACCCCCTTAACGAATTTTGTTTACTAACAAAACAAATCTAATTTAAATAAATAAGCATAAAAACTTTATACATTAAACATAAAAAACTAATTAAAATTTACAAAATAACCAATGTTTGATAATCGGTTAACTACTGGAACACTCCGGTCAATTTACTGGATCAAGCCGGTCAACTACTGGTGTTTTTATCTTACCTGCATTTAAACGTGAATTTATATGTAATTTTATTAATAATTATTTTAAATAAAATTACATATCAAAAACTTGAATATTTAAGGTTCATATAAACTTAAAATTTTTAATTTTTAGCGTATAATAATTTAATTACGATCAATTGAAATGCCAAACATCCTTAATCGGTCAACTACTGGTGCATTTACCCTATTAATAATGTAAGACTTGTTTAAAAAAACTTTTTTTTTTATAACAACAAACTATTTAAATGTTTAAAATAATATATTTTAATTCTATTGAGCCTTTAGAGTAATTAAATAATAAAAAAAAACCGTAAATAATTTGCAGTTTGTATTATAATTTTTGCAGTAATTTTATTATTTACTTACTGATCAAATAAACAAAAATTTTTTTAATAATTATAAAAATTTTCGGTGATTTCATTAATCATTTTAATGAAAAAAAAAAAAATAAATAAATATAAACGTAGTTATTTTAGATGAGTTGAGTTTAAAAAATTATTCATCGTCTTCTTCTTCTTCTTCTTCTTCGTCTTCTTTTTTCTCTGCTTCTCTCTCTTCTTCTTCTTCTTCTTCTTCTTCTTCTTCTTCTTCTCTGGCGGATTTTTTTTTAAGGAATTAATTTTTTTTCTTTATTAATTTATTAATTAAAAATGGAAGAAACAACACCACCACATGTATCCAGGCAATATTTAGTTGTCAATGAAGAAAATAGTGGATCTAGTAATAGTGTTGCTAAAAAAAGTCAGACTGATAAACAAGAAAATAAATCTGTTAGTATGTCTGAATGGGTTACTGTTTGGATTTTATGTTTTGTTAATCTTATTAATTATATGGACAGAACTACTATTGCAGGTAATTTTATTATTAAACAAAGTAATGTGTGATAATTGAAAAAAAATTAGATGTCATTTTTTTTTAATTTAATTTATTGGTTTTGATTGATAAAATAATCAACGATATTTTTTTTTGTTTATTTTTATTTTATTTGACATAAATAAATTTAAGGTCAATTTTTGTGATAGTGAAAGTAGATTTATTATGATTTTTATTTAGTTTCAAGGTTAAATAATTTAAAGGTTAAGTGATTATTTTTTATTTATAAATCTTTTTATTTCTTTATTTAATAATAATTGGTGATTGAGAGAAAAATTAATTGAACAATTATCAAACGTCTGCTATTTTCAGTTTTAATTATTTTTATCAAAGAAATTTTTTATCAATTTTTAAAATTACTAAAAGTAAAAATTTCTATAAGTTAAAATTGATAAAAATTTTTAAAAAGTAAAAATTTAATAATAAAAATTAAAAAAAAAATTTTTTATATATTTTTTTAAGTAATAAATTAATTATATGTATTTTTTTTATCATAATATTCTTATCTATATATTTCAAGGTATTAATTAAAACAATTAATTTTTTAGGTGTACTACCAGAGATACAAGAACAATTTAAAATAAAAAATGGCTCATCTGGATTATTACAAACAGCATTTATTGTCAGCTACATGATATTTGCTCCATTATTCGGTTATCTTGGTGACAGGTATAACAGAAAAATAATAATGAGTATTGGAGTATTTATTTGGTGCCTAACAACACTCCTCGGGTCTTACATGAAGGTAATTTAAAAGTTTAAATAACTCAAATGGTCTATCAATTTTTGTTTTGTCTCGTTTATCGGAATTCACATTATTGACTTTTATATTTAAGATATGCTAGGTAAATAGTTTCTGGCCCCTCAGCAATGCCAGATAAGAATTTATTTTAATTGTACCAGTATTTTAAATTTAATTTTATTAATTATCATTTTTTATTTTATGAATGAAATCTTTTTTAATTGCCGATAAATAAATTGATAATTTTAATTAATTTATCATAAATATCTTTTATTGTTTTTTTAATTTAAATTTATGGCGACAAAATAAAGAACGCATTTAATCTCGTGACCTATTAATTGACCCTTTTTAATAAAATTAAATAATTATCATATTTAAAGTCTAGAATTTTTATTGTTAATAAATTAATAAATTGATAAATTTATTTTTAATAAATTAATTTTTTAATATTAGAATTGAAAAAAATTTCAATTTTATAATTAATAAATTATAATTATTTATTTTCAGACTTTTGAAACATTCATTCTCTTCAGAATGTGTGTCGGAATTGGCGAAGCTAGTTATTCAACAATAGCACCTACGATAATAAGTGACTTATTTGTAAAAGACACTAGATCTAAAATGTTAGCGTTGTTTTACTTCGCTATTCCTGTAGGAAGCGGGTTGGGGTATATTACCAGCGGTAAAATAGCCCAAGCGACTGGCAAATGGTACTGGGGATTAAGGATAACTCCTGGGCTAGGAATTCTAGCGATCCTTTTAATTTTGCTGTTCGTTAGAGACCCTGCCAGGGGAGAAAAAGAAGGTGGTTCTCATATTTCAAGCACTTCGTGGTCAGTTGATATCAAAGAGTTGTTGAAAAAGTAAGTTATTGTTTTTTTTGGATAAAAAATTTCTAGATACATAATTAAGAAATGACCTTGTATCTTGTCAACTACTGACATTTTTTAAGATATAAGCTCATCTCGATCTTAAACTCATCACGACCCTTCATTTAAGTACCCATATCATTTTTTCATATATTTATATATATTATATATATGAATATATAAAAAATATATCAAAATGCGTGTGGGTACTCAAATGAAAGCTCTTGATGATTGTATCATCGGGATGAGCTTATATCTTTAAAAAAGTCATTAGTTAAAAAAGTACAGTGCAATTTAACAAAAGTCATTATTTAATAAAGCAAACTTTTATTTATTTATAGTTCACAAGTCACGGCAGTCACATATTAAGTTTGCAAAGTTATAAATAATAATACGGAATAGTGTAAAACAGTAAATTACATCGTGTTAAATTTACACGAGTGAAAATTTCACTCGAAGGAAATTTTACACCGACTTTTCACACTTACTCGACGGTGTAAAAGTCTCTGAGTCCAACTTTTACACCGAAATTTTTTACTGTGTACATTTATCATAACATTGATGTTTTTCATAATCATAAGGTAGTGGAAATTTCAAATCCGAAAAACTAATAATTTGATATTTTTCTTCCATTTCTTCAATTATTTCATTTGCACATAAGCTCGCATCATAACAAACAGTCTCCCATAATTTACAGTAAAACATTAAATTATTATCATTAACGAAAATATTTTTGATTTCACTGTAAATTGGTAAATCTGTTAAGTCATCGATACATGAAGCAATAAAATAATTTTTCTTGTAGGTAAAGTGAAATTCAAACTCTGATACTTCATAAACTACACTGCTCAGAGTTAAAGCTTCATCAGAGTTTACTTCATGATATGGAATATTGTCAAATAAATTTCCGAGCTTCTCAAATTTTCCTTTTCCGAGTTTTAAAATATTGCCATTTTCGTTCAATTCATTCCATTTGTAGTAAATGAATTTTTGGTGCTGAGTGGCCAACATTTTTGGAACATTGATATAATTTTTGTATAGAGAAATTAAGTTTTTAAAGTAATTATGCTTAGCTTCAAATTGCTTTTTACGTGAAAAAATTTTAAATATCAATATCTTCCTCTTTTATTATTTTTTTTATTATTTATTTCCAATTATTAAAGATGTACGGTTCGATTATAAATATTGTGTTAATTAAAACAAATTTATACCGCCGGAAAATTTATAACACCGTTTTAACACCGAAAAAAATATTTACACCGCAAACGGTGTTACATCGGTGTTATTATAACACCGGACTTACACCTGTTTTTTTTTTACAGTGTATAAATCGACTGTTATTTATTACAGTTTACTTTTTTCCGTGTATAATAGAATAAGAAAAAATTTGATAAAATCATAATAACAGTTCCTATATTTTTCTTTTTGTGTATGTATTTAAAATGATACCAAAATAATAAAAAAAGCAAGTGTCATCATGTCATTACATCAATATTTTTATGTCATAGATTACATTTTTTATTAAATTAAAAGTTACCTTATTTAGAAGTTGCAAAACCTGAATTTCTTGAATTAAAAATTAAAAAATTCATGTTTTTTTGAAAAATAACCAGTATGTAATAGTTTGATTAATAAAAAACGAAAATAGTTACAACTAGAAATCAAATAGGTGCTGTTGGTGTATAAACTCTCACGTAGTCTTCTTGACTTTCACCTTTGCTATCATAAACCACGGATACGAATTTATATTATTGTAGAGTGACCGAATCTGACGGCAAGTTGACAATGTGCGGCTCAGTAAATAGTAACAAAAGCTTTCCCTCAGTTAGACTTTCGCTGTCAACGAATAAAATAATATTTATTACATTATTTCTACTAACATCAGTAACAATTGTGAGCATATGTGACAAAAATCAACCGACTGAAGAATAATATTTCTATGTAAATGTATGGTCATCATCAATAATAATTGATTTATTTAACAAGGAAGTTAAAGACACGCGAGTATTCGAAAGTTTATAAGAATAATCTATTTTTGACATTTTGCCTCCTCACAAGATTGCTTTTGCTTAGTTAAATTACGTGTTCATGATCATTTGTCATTTTCAATTATAAACGGTGAAAAGACATATGACTTTAGCACATATTCGGTGTTAAAGAAGAAAACAAAAAAGTTTTATTATGGATTCTGTATGAACTTTACTCCGTAATCGACTGAATTTTTTTTTATCTCAATAATGCTGATCCAAGTGAAAAAATGAATATAAAATGACATTGAGATAAAGAGTTAAATTAGCTGAAACAGGATTTTTGTAAGAGCTAAGAGTTAGGAAGGGAGATCACAATACCTTTCTCCGGAGATGTGGCTGACCGACATATTCCGTTCTTCGCCCTTCCATCTTGACTAGAGGTAAGAAGAAAAAGAGAAAGAGCGTCAGCCAAGCAAGAAGCAGGAGTTTAAGTCATTTGATTTGCTAGGTGAGAGAAAAGTCTTCTCCGTTCTTGCTATGAGTACCGTCGTATCTCCTGTATTACTTCATTGTTTTCATTATGTTTCTTGCGATTTTCTTTATCAGCCTTACGTGAACACGCGCTACCGCGGTCTTTTATATTTTCCGCTATAACAGTCAACGGGGCCAGTTTATAGTAGATATTCTCGTGAATAGCTGTGTATACTAGTCACTCAGGGTGCGATCAAAATATTATTGGTGTTTTTTACTTATAAAACACGATGAAGTTTCAAAAAATTATCTGTGATAGTTATGGACTCCAAAAATCTGAAGAATTCGATCAAACAGGTAAAAGTACATTCAAATAATTATTATTTTTTACTGTCAATTTTAATTATTGCTATTACCATTCAAAACTCAAATAACTACTCTAAGAACATTTTTATAAATCATTTTATTTAATATTTATTCATAAATGTCTAATGAAAATGTTAGTGCAGAAACTAAACGGCCTCGACTCACTTTCTGTATTTTACACAGTTGAGTGCAGTTGGCATTTTTTTTTTCAATCTAATACTTTTACTCATAGTTTTCGTAAAATTGTAAATGACTTGAAAATTTTATCAATTTTAATATGGTAAAATAAAATATTTACACAGATGTTTCATGAAAAAAAAAAAAAATTGAATTGGTAGACAGAATAAACTTGATTAGAAATTCGTTTCTCGTGTTAACACATGTAATATCATGTAAACGTGACTGCACCGGTGTGAATTATATTATTGAGTCGTATTGGTGATGAAAGCGCAAGACGATCACTTATTTGGACATTCATTGTTCGTACTTAATTTAGATGTAAACTTAAATGTTGAACATGGAATACCTAATTTATTTTCATTTATCAATTAACACGATCTCATATTGATAAAATGTTTACACATGCAGTTTAAGTTAAAATTAGTAGTTTGAAATAAAATTTACATCATTGAATTATTTTACAGAGTACGATGCAGTTGAAAAAAGACTTCAATTACTCTTAAAAGAAGGATCTAAAACTCCTGCTGATTCTGATGAATCAGAAATGACTTTGCCTGAATATTACGATCCAGTCAAGTTTCGTTTGGGTCAGAATGTCTTTAGAAAAAATATTTTTACTATGATGATTGCTAAATTATCCGGATTGCTACTTCTTCTTACGGTCCCATCAATTCTTGATATTTTAAAATTTACCAAACAAAGCGGTAATCCATGTACCGCCTTTCGTAGATACGCTGCGACAATTCTTCATACATGCATCTGGTATAAAAATTCACCGGATGAGGATAGTGAGTAAGTAAAATAATAATGTTCTTATTTTGTCTAATATGAATACTAAAAATTACTTGTGTATATTAATACTTTTTCTCTATATTTTTTGTATTCTTAAAATAAGAGTTTTGTTTTTTCTTTAACGAAGCTGGAAATACTATGTATGAGGCAAAAATAAAATTAATTTAAATAGCGTTCATTGACACAATATGAGACGTTAGAATGCGAATGTCGTGTTTTAAGAATATATTTATCCTTCAACTGTATCTTGTCTACAATATTTTTTTCTAATCACAGTACCTGCAAAAATTACCATATTAGTTTTTATTTTTTTATTGGTTCTCCGTAAAAATTCAAATCCAAACTGTTACTAGAAATACAAATGAATAAATTAAGGATTACTATTAATATTACATTTTTTTTTTTTTTTAGATTATTTGTATCCTTGAAAAATGTCCGTAAAAAGCACTGTATTGCTTCTAAACGTAGCTGTGAAGCTGGAATAGGTCAAATTTCACAACTTGATATGGCTCTTACTCAATTTGGTTTTATGGGTTTCACTCTATTATGTGCAGATTATTTAGGAGTTGCTACCAACGATGAAGAACTCGATGGTCTTCTTCATTTTTGGCGTGTCATTGGACGAATGTTGGGTACAGAAGAAAGGTAAATTAGTAGCAGAATATTTATTATTTTTTGTTTTTATCTTTAAAATTTGATCAATTTAATTAAATTAATTTTTTTTTTAGATTCAATCTTTGCAATGGAACTGTTAAAGAAAGTAAAGCACTTTGTCGAAGATTATTGGAAGAAATTTTCGTTCCTTATTATACTAAAAAATCAAAAGATTTCGAAGAAATGAGTAATGCTCTTTTAGAAGGATTATGGCCGATAAATCCGTTTGTAAATAATAAATCGTTCAGAATATTTACATGCCATCTGATAGCCTCAGCTATACCAAATAATAATCACTCATTAGATATCGATGACACACCGTTGTCATTGTACAGTAAAATAATATTGTATCTTCAGCTTTTTGTTCATAAATATTTATTGCCAGTACATTATTGGTGGTCTAGTATTTTTCGCGCTCATTTTAATAATCAAATGAAAATAGGCTTTTATCTTACGGAGAAATTTCCATTTTTAGCCTATATACTCTACGGACGAAAACGATCATATTTTAATATTTATAAATTTCATTTTGATTAAAATAGAAAAATGTCTTTTTATTGTTTTTAACAAATGGAATTTTTGTATATTGGCCAGGTGCACGATGGTGCTGCCCTCATTTTTCATGCTTTTCCGATGTTAAATCAAACGGAGTAATTTAGTTCCAGTGGTCGCCATTAGCGTTAAATCATGCTCTTCCCGTAAGATTTACACGTAAAAGTGGTAGTCAGCGCCAGCCCTCCCCACCATATACTTCGCACCCTGCCAATATTTCTCTGTTTATGAAAAGATAGCATTTATTTGATGTTTTATAGTTATATCGTTGTGTGAGTACTAATTGCTGAAACAATAAAAAAAAAGACAAAATAAAAAATAATATTAGGGATCAATGACATTTCAATATAGAAATTCGATACTGATATTTAATTAAACTAGAATTTGAATTTACGCGCGCAAGCGCGCGCTTTGACTATAGAGTTTGTATATATTTTCATGCTTATGATATATTCAACCAATCACGTTACGAATAGTTTGATGCCACATACATTTCATCTCAATTTTATATTAGGATTAGAATTCAAATTTTCGCGCGCAAGCGCGCGCTTGACCATAGAGTTTGTATATATTTTCATGTATATGATATATTCGACCAATCACATCACGAATAAATTGGTTTCACATACATTTCATCTCAATTTTATTATGGGACTAGAATTGAATTTTGCGCGCGCAAGCGCGCGCCTAACTATAGAGTTTGCATATATTTTCATGCTTATGATATATTCGACCAATCATGTTACGAATAGTTTGATGCCACATACATTTCATCTCAATTTTATATTAGGATTATTTTCTATAGCCAAAAATAATTAGTTGTCAAAAAGATATAATTAAAAAAAAAAAGTAATTTATCAAAAATAGTATTAGATAAGTGATTGTTTGTACTTAAAATAAGTTAAAAAGTAATCTAAAAATTGTACAGTAAACTGATTATGAACAAATGTTTTATTTTAGTGATCAAGAAACTAAAATTGGAATTAAGTTACTATTTTCACTTCGTTTTATAAGTGTCTAAAATATAAAGAAAGTTTTTTATCACGGTTTATGTATGTAAATAGTTTAAAAAGACGAACCAATGTTTTTTTTTAAACAAGTGAAAGGACTTATTCATCAATGAAGTCAATTAAGTCTACAAAAAAAAAAATTGTGAAATATTTTTATTTAAACGATTGAGCAATTGAAGTCAAATTTATTATATACAAAAAAAATATATACGTATGATATCGTATTATAAAAAATTACATGTCCATTATATTGTAGATCAGTATGTACGCAGTAATTTAATCATTAATTAGTTCACAACCTTAATAATTTGTAATTTTAATTGTCTTGCCAACCTATTATTTCAACGTCAGCACGAGTTTGATTCTGAAACATACTGACATTTAGTATAATCATTCCATTTATAAGATGTATAAACTGTAAGCATTAATTACCACTGCGAAATATTATCTTATTGTCGTTTATATTGAATAATCATATCTATTTATGTGTTACACAATTTCTGAGCATTTATTAACTTTGGTATTTCCAATGATTTTTATTAACAAAATAATATTCTTACAACTATTATTATCAATCATACGTTATTAGTCATCGTATGTCGCTTCTTAGGTACCTCTCAACAACTTCAGTAGATGGGAATATCTAAAATTTTTATACTCTGAGAATTGTAAATTAACTGCCCGGGTCAAAAAATTTAGTCTGTTTTATGATTAATAAAATTTTTTAATATTTTTCATTCAATTTAATTTTATTATGTGTATCTATTTTATATGAGAATTTAATCTGTTTTTGCCCGTATTATTCATAATTCAGACCAATTTCAGATCATTTTTAATGTTATAATAAAATTGTTTTCTATTGTTTCAAGACCAAAATCAGACTTTTTTCGTCACAATCATTTAGATGGTTTTGATCGCATCAAGGTCAAAAACAGACCAAAACGTTCTATAATTTTTAGTCGGTTTTTCATCGCCTGTAGATCAAAAACCGACCTTTTACGAATTTGATGATAATAATAATAATATTAATAATAATAATAATAATAATAATAATATATTTATTTATTATTATTTTATTCATGTCCTCGAAGATCCTCTACAGGGCACGGCTTTTCATTCTCTGAAACTGAAATAGTGACCATTCACTATTTCGTAATGCAATGTATACCAAAACGGTACTCCGCACTACCAAATAGTGGATACCGCTCATTGAATGATGCGTGAAAGTATAAAATTTAACATTAATCTTGTCAACAATTTAATTTTGTCTCGATGTATTCGCATTGTGTTTAATAACGATAATTAGAAAACTCTAGATTTAGATCCATAATTAAACGATGAGAACTATTTTATAAACGTATATTAATACAAATTTATTAGTTATCACTGCAACTAATATTCGCAGTTACAAAACTTTCATAATCCATGAAATGTTGAGCTATGACAAATAAATATGATGAGCTATGATAAATAAATATGACATAGATGTAAGGTTATAATCGACGTTCAGTTTATAAAACAAGAGAGCGCATGAATATATTATAAATTAATTCATTTTTTTAAATAAATGCGACTTATAATTTTTAATGAGATACTTTTAAGTCCAAAAAATTATAAGTCACCATCTTAGTCGACTTTTGGCCTTCGAACATTTAGAGTGAAAATTGTAGATCAAAAACAGTATAAGATTTCATATTGAATTTGAAAACAATATATAAAGTCCATCTACAAATTAACTAGACTAAAAACCGATCAAACTTTTAAAACTTTTTAGTTTCATTAGATTATAGAAACAGCATAAAATATTCATAGTTGCTCAATTATTTTACTAAAAGGTTATTTAGACTTAAAACAGATCAAAAATAATTTTAATAGTAGATCAAATACCGATAAAAATGTTTTTTAAAGTTCAAATACAGATCAATAAGTTCAAATGCAGATTATTTAGCTTAAAATCAGTTTAAATTTTTCGACTCGGGTGTACCTCTTGCAATATTTGAAGCTGAACGATTTATTTTAATTATTTTTGAACTTCCAACAAAGTGGTACGTGATCAAACTAGTAGATAACCTTCAACTTATGATTCTCAGCATCATCGATAACATACATGCATGGTTTCTCTCCTACCTTTGGACTCGCTTCTATCATTCATAAGTAACGAAATAAAATAAACTTTGGTAATACATAAAAGTTTTAAACTTTCATGCTTACTTTATTATCGTTTTAATCTGTATTTCAATTTCAGATTAGAAATAAAGGCTTCGATCAGAACTTTTCAACCTAAGTATTAACAAGATATGCGCTATGTCACGTATCACGACTATAATATGATACCTTTACATCTAATAAGTGTGCTTTGGATTTAATTCAAGTTGATTTTCAACGTTGCAAACAACATTGCAAAAATTTCAGATTCCAAAAAACTATTTTACTATAATAAATATTTTTGTTTCTTATTATGAGAAATTTTTAATGTTTATTCATTGAATAGAATTTGATTTGAGTAAAAGTTTTATTCACGTCACTGAAAATTTGTTATTTAAATGGTCAATCATTTCATGGTTTAATTTTTTTGATATTACTTCAGAAGTTGTATCTTGGAGTAAAAGTAATTAGGCCTTGTATTCATACTCACATCACTGAAAAAAGTACTAAAACAATTAACGTCGGAGGATGCTCACATATTACTATTAGTAATTTACTCATTTTATTACGGATAGTTTTTGCTGCTTATGCAATGGACATTAATTGGTCTTACTCAGGAAATATTTGTCGCTTGTCTTTTTATAGTGTAAAATAGTTATATTATTTATTTATGTACTAGTGCAATTATTACTATTATATCATATAACATAATATGTCATGTAAACAATACAATAATATTCATCTATCAGATAACTTTTATGCAATATATTCTTAATAATTATTTTAATTATCCAAGATAATTACAAGGTCATGCATAAATACATCAAAGTTAATGGATACCTATAATTATTATCTTCTTCCGAGGTAATAAAAATAATTTTAACTACATATATCAATAACTTTCAAAATTAATAAATGTAATACATGGACCATATTTTACACATTGACATAGTACAAAAAATTGTCCTCGACTAATAAAAAAAAAAAAAAAAAACTAAAGAAAGTATAAACAAAAATTTTTTATTTTTTTGCAATGTTGCTTAGCCACTTGAGCAATTTGATTTAATGTTGGAACTATTTAAATTGGAAAATTCGAGAATCAAGTGACATCAAGTTGAGGAGAACTATTCCATATTCTTCTTTAGATTTAGTGTTTTTGTTAAGTTCAAGTGCACAATGAAATCTGAGTATTGCATATCAAACAGTTATTCGTAAAGAGAGTTTGTTAATCATGATTGTATGTATTAACAAAAAGGAAATGATTTTTTTTGAATCAAAAAGGATATTCATTCTAATTTAATGAAATTATAAATTTCTCATAGCGACATTTCGTGAGTTGAAATATAATTCTAAGTAATATTAGAAAAATTAAATATTACTAATTATTGTGTATACTTTTTTTTATAAACTAAAAAACAAAATATAATTTGTACAAAATACATAGATATTTATTTAACTGCAGCAAGTCCGTTCTTAGTTGTAATATTCCATTGATTTTCCATGATATTATAGGCTGAGACATAGTAATTGTGAAACGAGAGTAATTGCAAGGTAGAAAGAAAAAGAGAGGGAAACGGTATATTAGAGGTGAGCGATATCGTGAGGATAAATTGTTATCCGTGTATTCGTTGAGCTTACCTGTGTTATATTATGATTTATATATGTATTATAGACATTATATATGTTGTGTATTGTTACAAGTGGGGAGAGACGACGGTACAGAGCGTATCTCGTATTTAAAATTTACCGGGAGCTATCATACAGAAGTCAGTACGAAGTTTTTGTGCCGAAGACTAACATCAATAATTAACAGTATTTTTTTTTTTTTTT